TCAAAACTCAAAAACAAATAAGAAAAAAATTAAGAAATGACAAAATAAAGAAAACAAAGGAATAAATATGTTGCCAAAAAATAGAAAACGAAACAAGATTTCTAATTCACAAAGCTATATCGCAAAAGCTAATTCACAAAATGACATAAGCTTTTATACACACACACATATAAACCCTAAGTAAAAAATTATTATAATACCAAAACACAACAAAAATAATAAAAATCTATACAGTACACGTGAAATAAAAAATAGAATTATATCGATAAATAATAGTAACTTGTATCTCATTGAGAAATCCATATTGAAAAAGTGTTTTGTGAGAATATGAGATGAGATAATGTATGAAACTCTAATTTTAAGAAAAAATAAAGTGAACTTATTTATTCAAAAGATGTATATAGAATGAAATGAATTTAGTTATTAATAGGGTGAATATAGAATGAGTGGATTTAATAGTTTGATAATAAAAAATTAAATGGAGTGAGAATAGAGATTTGTGGGGTAAAAATAGTTTTACACAATTTTTTTATTTACTTAACTATTAAGTTGAGTAATTTAAGTATATTATTCATTATTTACTTAAATACTAAATAATTACTCTCAAATAAAATTATTTATTATTTATTTTTTTGTACATTTTAACTTTATTTTAATTTAAAAATATAATTTACAAAAATACTATGTTAAAAAATGTATATATATATAAAAAAAAACCCATACAGTGAGTAAGAAATTGAGTTACGGATACTCTACTCATACCCAAAGCCCAACCCACCTAATAGCTCACCGGGTAAGGTCTTGGGCTATCCAGCCCCAGGCCTAAAAAATTTTCACGGAGTATATATATACAGTCAATTCAGTGATCCCCGGTAAAGATTGAACAACATTCCCAATCATCAAAGCCAAGGCCGTTTCTCTCTTCTTCCTCAATTCACCAACCATGGAAGCCCTAACTTCAACCATCGTCTCTTCTCCTTCTTCCCTCCCCATCTTCTCTCCCAAATCCAAAGATCCTTCGTCAAGAAGACTCCTCCGATTCTCCACCTCTCCCAAAAGTAAGCTCTCTCTTCATTTCCATTTTTATTCTCAATCTTTTGATCCGTTCCTAATTCTAACACCTCTTCTTTGGATTCAGATAACGGTAACGAATCCGATCTCCGGTCCGACTCAAATGGTTCAAGCATCGTACCGAGCCACAGCAATCGCACTCTCTCTCAGGTATTTGAATCAAACAATTTATTCCCTAAGCCTTTCTTCGTAGAGGACGAAATGGTGACCTAGGGTTTTTTTGATATTAAGCTTTTTTGGGAATTTTCAGGATGCCGCGATGGGCTTGGTTCTGAGTGCTGCGAACGTGAGGGGTTGGACTACAGGTTCAGGCATGGAAGGCCCTTCAGTCCCCGCCGGTGCTGAGTCGGGGTCAATTGCAGAACAGACGTCCACCTTCCCCTGGTCTCTCTTCACCAAATCACCTCGTCGCCGTATGCGCGTGGCCTTCACTTGCAACGTATGTGGTCAAAGAACCACTCGCGCCATCAATCCCCATGCCTACACCGATGGCACTGTTTTCGTCCAGGTATATGTACCCGCATATGTAGAATGTCTCTTCTGCACTGCTTTCTTTCAGATATTGGTTATAATTTGTTTGTTCTTTTGTATTTTTTTTAATTGTAGTGTTGTGGATGCAATATATTTCATAAGCTGGTGGATAATTTAAACTTGTTTCATGAGATGAAATGCTATGTGAATCCCAGCTTCAATCCGAAAGGTGGTGACATTCGCTTCAAGTATCTTGACATGGATGATGACAACAATGATATTTTCCCCCTCTTATGAGGTGAAACGATTATTGAAAAGAATTTCTGAGTGCAGTGTACATTCTATTGCTCACACCTACAGTACCATTTCTAATTGTGTACATGTAAATAGGTTTGCAACAATTGATGTATTTTTATATTGAAGTCATTTTGATGTGGAACGTTTAAATATTTTTGTGCTTTAGTCTATTTGTATAAGAAGTTGATTACATCTCTGTTGGTGTGCATTTTGTGGTGATGTTCTATGTTGTGTAGGATTCTGTGTAATGTTGTTGATGAACTGCTGTCTGGTGTGTGACTTGTCTAGTTGCAATTTTAGGTGTGAATCTGATTGTAGTGCACCCCAGAGACCAGTTTTGCAATTTGTCTATCTACTACTGACTTTGTACATGGTAATGATTGCTTAGCAATTAGAGAAAATGGAATAGTTCTTGTCAAAACAAAATCATCGTCGGAATTGGTGGAATGCTCTTCAACATGTGTTGGGCCTGGTTTATAATAGTTCTTCAGTCACAAACACAACATCCCTCTTCCTATGGCTGGGACTCCCTTCTTCTTCTCCATTCAAAATGTTTTGGCAACTATTCGGTTATAGAAATCTGAATAGGTCTATATCGATCAGATAAAATTCCTTGGGTTGATCATTGTCTATTGTTTTATTCAGTTGAAGTAATTGCATTGGGGCAAGATTGCAATATCCCACATTTCTTGGTATCTAAAGGCTGTTAATTACTGGCCAAAAAAAGCAGTCAGTTGTAAAGGTTGTTTTTGGTATTTTTTCCTTCAGTTTAAGTTTCTTACAGTATGAGAAGTCTCCCTTTTTCTCTCCCACCATACTCTCTCTCTCTCCTCAGAGTTGTGCTCAGTAAGGCACTATTTTGAGCATAATTCAAATCTTTCGTTACTGCTTCTATTCACTACCATTTACAAGTGCCAGCTTTGTTGCAAATAATTCTGTGCGTGGCTGATGTGTATTGGGGTTTCGGGTTCCATAATGACCAATGAAATCCATGTCTTCTTTCACCATCTTATAGAGTGCACTCAAAATAACCTTTTAGGCTTATTATTCTGTGCGTGGCTGATGTGTATTGGGGGTTTCGGGTTCCATAATGACCAATGAAATCCATGTCTTCTTTCACCATCTTATAGAGTGCACTCAAAATAACCTTTTAGGCTTTTACCTTTTCTTTTGTTTGATTTTCTGATCTCAGAAAAATCCTATGGTTGGGCTGTGGGGTTATGGTTTCTGAGTGAGCATCCCCTAGTGTGTACGTGTGTGTGCCTGCTTGATTTGATTGCAGGCACAATTACGTAATGTAATACTCTCTCTTGAAATTACAACCCAAAAGATGATGAAACCCATTGTATTCCCAATAAAGTAATGTACAAGACTGTACGATGAGCTACAAATTTGCATTCGAATCTTTAGATAATCCGCGACCTAAAAAAAAAAAAAAATCTTAGATAATCTTTTTTGCATGCGTGTAAAGCCCAGTAGTGCAAGTGCCTACTTGAGACTACCTACCGTCAGTCTGTAACTCTAAGCTCAACAATGGATAGTTGCATATACACCAGATAGAGCTTTTACTTGTTAGTTTACTATCAGTTTGTCCTCTTGTTAAGCATGAGCAATTTGGTGCTATACCCCTTATTCTAGAATGGCTGCACAATGGCACGAATGGGTTGTGAAGATTCATCATACAGGAGTTAATGTGGTGCTATACCTCTTTACTATGTTTTTCAGTAGTTAATCTGAGCTCTAAATTGCAGTTTTGGAGCCTTTTATGAAATTGTGCTAAAGAAGCACCAATGCCACTAAATATATGTTTTAGCATCCACCCTGTGTTCAGTGCATTATTTCATTAATCTTAAGGTTTCACGCCCTTTTCACTTCTTTTTTGTTTGTGTTATATTTTTTTGCGGGCAAACTCGTCCTTCTTGCAGCCTTATTGTTTCATAGCTTCCCTGAGGTCGTGGCCCATGTCCATCAGGTATTGAGTTTTCTCTGACTGCTAAAGTCTGTGACATTGGAGTTTGAAAATACAGTCATAGAGAAGATTCTAGATATGTACGAAATATGACTGGTATTGCATTGCACAAAAAAAAATCCTTGCTGATTGTTTTCTACTTGCTGCTAGCATTAGGATGTTTTGTTTGATGAGGTGAAATGACTCTTTGTTGTAATTTATCATACGATGTTTCCTATATTCAGTTGCAAACACCTAAAATGACCTTTTTTTAGTCTTTAATTTCTATAGTTTTGGGTTGCTCTTAGCTCTATTCCTACATTATGACCTTGAATTAGTTCTGCCTACATATGCACCGTGACCCAGATGCCATCTTCTTGACAATTATAAGAGATAACACCAACGTGTGGATTTGAGTTGGACTTGGACAACTAGTTTTCTACTTCTGAAATTAGTAGTTTTAATTGGCCGTCATCGTCTTCATCTAGATACATATATTAGTTTTGGGAGGCATAATTTTGTAGATTTTATTAACTTTTCTATGTCACAGTAAGGTGTTGTACCTTCGGCACTCGTTTTTTTTTTGGGTCAACCACCGGGAGAGAAAGAGAGCACGATGTTCTAACTCGTGACCTTAAGATTTAATAGCAGGACGGTAGGCCAACCGCTAACCTCTTAGTCATTGGTTAGTGACCGCTGAAACTGTATTAAAATTAGTCAGGCCACAGCTGTGTAACAACTGAAGGCAAGGCAGGCAGTTAAACAAAAGATCTAGTGCCTGCAATTCTCGTTTTTCACTGGCAAAACTTTTTCTCTTCCACGAAGCAATGTTATTGAACCTAATATATTAATCTAATTTATTATGACATTTAGATTGATTTAATATATTAATTTAATTTATTATAATATGTAGATTGACTGGAGAGCCTATTAAATATTAGAACTTAGTGTTGATCTAATGATTTTATTAAAATTACATCGTTATGTCAATAAATTAGATCAAATTTTTAGGTTCAAATAATATTGTTATTGTGTTTAATACTTCTCCCACTTTTCACCTCACATCAGAAACATCCATGCCACGTCAGTGGATAGAATCCAATCCAACCAATCAAACCTATCCCGAGCAGATAACCCATTTCTCTATCCATCGTCCTTGCCCTGCTATACATTATCTAAATCCCTGACCCCTCCACAAACACGAACCACACAAATCCCACCTCAGATTTCTACCTTACCCAAGTATTAAACTCCATCCATCCTCTTTTTCTTCTCCATTTTCGGTTCACATATACTCTGAAGACACACTAGGCAGTACTAAACTTCTTCAATGGCTAGTGTCACCTCTGCTGCCGTTGCCATCCCATCGTTCACCGGACTTAAGGCTGCCTGTGCGACCACTTCAAGAGTTAGCAGCACCACCGCTAAGGTGGCTGCGTCTCCGGTCCCGAGGCTCGCCGTGAAGGCGTCACTGAAAGAAGTGGGTGCTGTTGTTGTTGCTACTGCAGCTAGTGCAATGCTTGCCAGCAATGCCATGGCCCTGGAGGTCTTGCTCGGTGCTGATGATGGATCTTTTCTTTTCATTCCAGCCAACTTTTCAGTGGCTTCTGGAGAGAAGATTGTGTTCAAGAACAACGCTGCTTTCCCTCACAATGTTGTGTTCGACGAGGACAAAGTTCCGGCCGGCGTCGATGCAGCGAAGATCTCCATGAGCGAGGAGGACCTCCTCAATGGACCAGGAGAGACCTACTCGGTGACCTTGACCGAAAAAGGCACTTATACTTTCTACTGTTCACCTCACGTGGGAGCAGGCATGAAGGGCGAAGTGACAGTCAACTAACGTTGTTTGTATGATGATTAAAAAAAAAATAAAAATCTGAATGTTAGTCGTTTCATTTTTCTATTTGGTCCAGTTGTTTTTGAATTTTGGAAGAGTTAAATATGGGTCTTACTGTTGGGATTGGAAAATAAATCGTTTATGAACTTTATAATTTCATTTTTGTGTAACATTGTTGTTATACTTGGTAGTGAAATATGAAAATGGAATGCTCATCATAAAGTTAAATATATATATATATTTATTCTAATAAAGAAGTAATGCAGTTTTCATTTATAATACAAAAACCTAATCTCATCTTTATGGAATGAATGTCTATTACCAAGAACGTATATTAGTCATTACCAAATATAAGAAAGTATTCTCAATTCTCAAACCATTTGCATATAGTAACACATCCAAATCCATTGAAACCAAAAGGCCTGATCCTTCACCATCCACGGCCTATCCATCCCACAGTACCGCTGTTATATGTGTTAAGTAAATTGTAATGCCTGTTTTTTTTTTCAACTGTCGGACGTGTTTACGTGTACTTTAATTAATTCTGTCTTCAATTCAATTAAAGGTAAGTCATTTACATTGAAATTAGGATATTCATAAAGAATAAATCTTTCATGACTTAACCTTAAATGATTGTCAATGTTCAAATTCAAAACGTTTAAATTTATAACTTGCATCTGTAACCACTCGAGTTATCATTTGCGTTGATAAATTGTAATGTCTAAGTGTATGGTATGGTTTTATGCTCTCTTTAATGTTTGGTTTGTTTCACATGGAGTGTTTCCGCTACTATGTAAAGGATCATAAATGCAACTACATAATTTAGAAGAAAACTGAAAAATACACAGAAAGGAGAACTTGGAAGAATTTGCACTAGATTTATAATAGACATGCACATATTTCGCAAAGATGTTAGGAGAAATTATCAGAATTACTGTCTGCACATATTTAGTTATTTTTCTGTATTCTGTAAGTGATTTGTTATAAACCCGACATTAAATTTTATTAGTTGGGACATGTATCAAAACTTGAAGATAATATCTTTCATATACCTCAAAACGATTGATTTTTTTTCCTTCATTTATACTATTCTCGTAACAACCACGCCATCACCCAATCCACCACCTTTATCACCACACACATCCATCATTGCAACCACTACCACGACTTCCAGCACCACCTTTGCCATCATCCCACCTCCATCTCCACCATCATAAGTGCATTTACCATCTCTACCATTCATTGCCACCATTTGCCCTCGCCAATCCTTTGCAACCCTTTCTCTCTATATGAGTGGAGAATAGGGATGGCAGCGGATTGGAGAAAATGAGTATTTGTCCAAATTCATCCCGTTTGGATCGGGATAGACTATATGTATTGGACGGTGGACGTATACGGAAATACCTTTATAAACCCGTGCAGGAATGATGGCGGGGATAAACTTACCTTTATTCCCGCCCTGTCCCGTCCCGTCCCTGTTACCCGTTATATATATATATAATCAAATAGGTAATATACACTACCATAGTTAATAAGTGCAAACATTAGCAACAATCTTTTACTTCATTGAACATTATGGATAATATCAGGCTTCTTATAATTAATAAGGAGTCCATACAAAATTAAAAAGAAAAAGAAAGCCAAAAAAATAGTTTTGGGGCTTCACAACAAAAATTAAATCCATTTGTACTTTTGGTATGACTTCCGTGGTGCAATTGCCATTCGAGCAACATGCACACAGCTATTCATCACAATTCTTTACTCCATTGGTCCTACTAGATAATTGACTTGTAGCCAGTTTAGATATCCATGACTGGTAATTGATTACGTGTCATCAATCTTCTAAGAAACAGATTATTGAAATAAAAATGCAAAAAAAATAGTAAGTTAAGAAACTAAAGTTCCAAGATTTATGACATTTCAGGATTTATATAAATATTTAACACACTGTAAGAGCTAAGAGCTTTCTTCAAGAATGATATTTTGATGATTTTTTGTCATATGAAATCAGATAAAAAAAAACTGTTACAATTTTACGTTGATGCTGGTTTGTTGGCTCTATGTTGGTTTGGGCTTGGATTTGGGTTTGTGCGAGTACGAGGGAAACGGGGACAAGGATTAAAAATTTATCCGCTGACGGGGATGAAGATAAAAATTATACCTGTTAACGGAAGTGAATCGAGGATGCACAAAATTTTTTTCAGGGGGTACAGGAATGAAGATTATACCCCCCACCCGCCCCCGCTTCGGTCTATTGAGATACCTAGCGGAGAGGAATGCTAAACCTTGAGAAAATGAATGCAACAAACCCGTAGAACTCTCCAAAAGGGACCGAGTCTACTTGGTATTACTCATTGGCCAGTAAGAGATATCTGCCCTGCTTTTGTTTTACTGGGCCTCACTTATTATTAGCCTGGGCGTAAAAGCCCAGCTAATTTCAAACTTTGTGGAACAGATAGAAGGGCCTCCACGACCCACTATAAACTGGTGGCATTTTCTCTTTCCAATCAGAAGAATATGCTAATGGCGAAAAGGATTGAGATAAAAATCAACCCTAACGAGTGGATAATATGAGCCACAAACCTAACGAGTGGATATGATGTTTAGATCCACTCAGATCTCATCATAATTTCATTCCGCTTCCCATCTTCTCTGTTCATCTCTCATCTTCAAACATACTCTCTCTCTCTCTCTCCTTCCTTCAATTCTTACCCCCCTAATGGCTACTATCACAAACTTCTTGGCTAAACCACCTCCAAATCTTGCACCCATCACTAAAATTAATCCCCTTCAGTTCCATTTTCCCTCTCTTTCTTTACCCACTAAACCACCCAGCCACCTTGTAAAAAATTTGGAAACTAGACGTTCCCTCTTTATTCCAAAGGCCACAGCTGCCCCAGAGGTGAAAAAAGTCGATACTGATGAAAGAGTACAGAAAGTTCATAGCATAGATGAATTCGACGAAGCCCTTCGCGTGGCCAAAAACAAGCTTGTGGTAGTAGAATATGCAGCTAGCCACAGCTACCACAGCAGGAAAATCTACCCTTTCATGGTGGACCTTAGTCGGACATGTAACGACGTAAACTTTTTACTGGTTATGGGTGATGAATCCGAAAAGACCAAAGAACTTTGCAGGAGAGAGAAAATAGAGAAAGTCCCACATTTCAGCTTCTACAAAAGCATGGAAAAGATCCACGAAGAAGAAGGGATAGGCCCAGATCAGCTGGTCGGAGACGTATTGTACTACGGAGACAATCATTCAGCTGTGGTTCAGCTTCACTGCAGAGAGGATGTAGAGAAATTGATTGAAGAACACAAAATTGATCACAAGTTGATTGTTCTTGACGTGGGTTTGAAGCATTGTGGCCCGTGCGTTAAAGTGTACCCGACGGTGGTGAAGTTGTCGAAGCAGATGGCTGATTCGGTGGTGTTTGCGAGGATGAACGGCGACGAGAACGATAGTTGCATGGAGTTCTTGAAGGACATGAGCGTGGTTGAAGTTCCCACATTTTTGTTCATCAGAGATGGTGAAATATGTGGCAGGTATGTGGGTTCTGGTAAAGGAGAGCTCATAGGGGAGATTCTTAGATACCAAGGAGTTCGTGTTACCTAAATTTACGAAGGAAAAGCAATATGGGTTTTATGACCCAAAAGTGAAAAGGAGAATGTTTATTAGTCTCACATTAGTGTTTATTTATTAATGGGATGGCTGCGATGTTAATTTGATTATGGATCTATAATTTTTTATATCATTTTCCATCTTGAATGTATGATTCAAGTTCATCACAATCAATTACAACTACTTCAAGTTAATGGCCAGATATTATCTTCAATATACTTGATCACAAAAAAAAAAACTTTCAACGATTAGGGGTGTATACCCAATTTATACCAAACTCGATTAATCTCTTCTCTGATCTAGTTAAAAATAGGTCATTCACACTGAGATTAAGGTACTCATAAAAAATTTATTTCTCATGGTTCAGTTAAAAAGAATTATTGAAATTCGACTTTAAAATGTCTGAATTTACAACTTACTCTAATTATTACTAGAACTATTTTGGGGTTGATCTCAATATCACTTTAGGTTAGACGACGAATCAGGAATTTAAAAAACCAATTCTTTATCTGATAGTTAACCAGCAAATTTTTGAACATGTAAAAGGATAAAATTAGGAGCATACGGAGTAAACTTCTCAAATCGCATCACAAGGATGATGTGTTCAACCTCAAGGGTGATTCAATCCCTTTTCATACTCATGTGTTTAACCTCAAGGGTGATTCAATCTCTTTTCATACGAGGGTTAGTCATTTTTATCTTTTTAGAGACATTTTTTAATTTAATTCAAGTTATTGTGATCAATGGTTAAGCTCGAAAGAATAATTAATACAAACTTGTACACGTTGTAATAAAAAATACATAAATAAAAGGTTTATTCACTGAACCTATAAGAGTGTTTATATAAGTTGAGTGGACCCATATCTCATCCCTTTTATTTGGGGAGGGGGTAATAAGGGGAAACTTCGTGTAAATTTGAGTATTCTTAAAGAGGGTATTTATCCCCTTTTTTTTTTATGAAAAAAATAGTGGGTAAAGAAAAGCGTCCAGCGACCACCCTGATAGGCCCTCATCGGTGGAATCATAAAGCCTCTTACCACGCCTAAAATACCTCTCGGGACCAGACCAAGTTAGGCTAGCATAGCGGTCAACTACCAAGTCTCAATGAGAATTCTAAAACTCGAACTCCCAACTTTAAAGTGGAGAATAAAGTCGGTTTCCCACTAAACCACCCTACTTCGTAATATTTATCCTATTTGCATGGCTTTTAGCTTGTCTTAGATCACAATGGCATAACAGTAAAGAAACTGCAATCAGAATTAATTCTACCTTACATCCAGTTTTGCAAGTTGATCGACACACAATACAAACCTCAAATTTTACATCCCAAACAATTGGAAGATGGCTTTTTCTTTTTGGTTGGGGGCGGGGAGACAAAAGGAAATATTATTTGCGTTTAATTTGGATACTTTAATTTGAAGATCAAATTCATTATAAATTATTGCTGTTAGATCGAAATTGAGTCTCATCACACACTTGAATTCAATTTTAATATAAATATTACAATAAATTAAATACTTAAATTGGATGACTATGACGTTTCAACTCAACTTAATCATTTGTGGTCGGCTAGCCAATGTTTACAAAATTGATAAAT